AATATGAAATGCCCCTCCACAACTTGTTACCTTATAAGGACATTGCGTACGCGTCGCGCGTACTGCGCGATGTCGCGCAAAACGCAGCTGGGCTGGTGTAGTGCATAGATATAGAATATCTATGGTGTAGTGTGAATTTCGGACTATGAAATACTTATTCACTGGTAGAACATTGCGCATGTATACGTGAGGAATGTGAGCGTTCAACCAATGAAACGTTAAAAGGCACCGGATTTCATGGGAGTCCAAACTTCATGTGACACATGAAAAGTGTTTAAGACCGTTTAAGACCGGCCACGTGACGGGCTCTCGACCAATAGGAATGCGTAAACTGACTTAGGTATTTATGAATACAGTTTAATAATTACGTTTTGAGTAAGTTTTCATACATTTCTTCCCTGCTTATTGTGGTGGTGTGTTTGTCTACAAGGTAAAAAAACTATCGAGTTTCATTCACTTTAATGTGACTGCCATTAAATTGCAAAAGAGCAGCCTGATTTATTTGTGTGTGTGTCCAATACGCGTTTGTGTATGAAGGCCAATCCACAAACAGCTTTTTTCATGATACACATTGTATGTTAACCGTCTTGCTCAACTTCATTGGAAGTTCCGCCCATCCGTTAGAGAATCAACTTTAAGATCGCCTCCGGCCATCATCTTTAAAAGTGTCCTCGCCATGCACAGCCGATTAAATCTTGGAGGCGAAACCCCAAGTGTCCGGTATGCCTAATCTTTGCTCTCATTGTTACGTTACGCTATACTGTCAGAACTGGGATAAGCAAACACCGGTAAAGCCTTATCGTTCACTAAACCAAAACTCTGGAAAACTGAATCCTCAAACAGCAGACCACATGGCATCGTTCAAGAGGCACGTTTTAAAAAGACACTTGCTTCAAGGATGTGCGCCTTTCTTCTAAGCTATTTACTTAACTTCGCTGGCTAATCAAATTCGGTGCAGAAACAGAATCAACTTTAAGATCGCCCTCCGACCCTCCACTTCAATGTCTTCACCTCGCATGGCACAGCCCCTTAATTATCTTTTTGGAAGACGCATCAAGAAGCCAAATCAAAGTCCAGCGTGTTACTTCATATAATTCACAAGCCTTTGTTTTTTTTCTGCACCCATCTGCGGCATGTGTTATCCATTTCTACAAATTCATAAATTCACGACACATTTAACTTTGCAACAAAATATTTCACGGCTGTTCAGGATTATTGTTCACGTAAGCTTTAGCAATCGCCACTTAACTAATTAACAACCACTGTTACTTTGAGTAATTGTCAAGCCCTTGCTTATTATCTGCGAACATCGGCATTTATTACTAATTTTTACAAATACATACTATATGTCGCTGTGGCATATACCGTACATGCCTGCTATTTTTTTTACACACGAGATATACATGTATGTGAAGTAGGCGTACACGTGTATGTACACACAGGCATTATTAACGGTGCTTAACACACGGGCCACCTGTGCGGCAGTCTGAAGTCACGTTTTCAAAGTATACATTTTGTTCTCTATTGAATATAATCGGCATTATGATAATGCCGTCGTAATTTGATAGGTTCAGTGCGATAATATTACCATCTCCACGCCTGCTGTTCGTTGGACATTGAACTTGTTGACTGGAGAGCTCAAAAGATGGCGTGTTTTGACCTCAGATAACCTCTACCATTAATAATGATTATTTTCACATAATTAAACATCAGTGAGCCTTTTGTGTGTTGGCCATTCATAAATCGAGTCAAAAACGGTAGATTTCAACTCAAAAAGAGCCTCTCCATCAACTACCAAATATTGTAGCTAATTATTCAAAGGGATTATCGATCTGCTCATGTTGATAGGCAAGGATCGTTTGCATGTCTTGCATTTTATTTGTTTCCTACAACAACAGCACTCAAAATCCACAAGTTAGAATAAATGTTCAAAACCTAACCTGTTGAACTTTCAGCTCATACACTTTTCGAAAAAAAACCCACAACGCACAGCGTTCTGATCATGAAACACAGTTCTTGATTTCGTCTAAGTGAAAGCAAGCCAGACGGAATAATTTCACGGAATAATTTCACGAGCGACACCACTTCGTGTATTTTAGACCTCAATTTCACGGGATATGTTTAGTACTAGTACGATCCTTAATTCAAGTAAGCCTTTTGATAATAATTCGGTAGGCAAGGCCAAAAAAAAAAATAAGTCGGTCTCTGGTCAGCGCGCGCGTCGATTTTAATCATGCTCGTCGATCTTTTTTTCCCAAAATGTTCCGCGGTAGCTCCAACAGCGCCCTCTATTTCCGCACCTCCTCAATTTTTTTTTACCAAAGAGCACCAAGGAATGGGAAATTGCACCAAGGCAAATGATCGAAAGCACCAAGGCAAATTATGGAGGACACCAATGTACATGAGGACACCAAAAAAGCAAAATAGTACCCCACCTTGTTTGTACAATCCAAGCTTGAAGAAAAAGAAAAAAAAGGCAAAAAAAACCCCCCAAAAAACCGCGTGGCCGCGTCAATTCCGGAACTTTGGTCTGACCAGAGACCGAATATTTTTTTTTTTTGGCCTAACTTTTGGGATAAATGCAAATCATCCTATGTGCCTTCCGTACAAAATGTATTTCCTTGGGAACAAAATCTCACTCATTCTTTTTTTTTTTGAGCTGCGGGGACTTACACTGGGGGTATTGAGTTACACGCAAAAATGGGCTGGTAGTAGGCCCTACTTGAAATTCCAAACAATTCAGTCCACATTTTCCCTTCCAAAAAAGCCCCCCATGACGCTGTCCCGCGGCTTCGTCTTCGGCTCCAGCTCCATTGCCAAACTGCTCACGACGCCGGGGTTTGGGAAACGGCCGTATTCCCCCACTGTATACGGCTTGTAAAATGGTTTAGTTGGAACGCGACATACTCTTCTATGATGCAGCAGCTGTGCACAGAGCTGGACCCTGAGTCCACAATGAGCCACGCCCACGACTAGGGATTCAGTGTACACATTTATGTTTAAATATATGAGCAGATATTTTTTACGGTATCATTTCAGCCAACTGTGGTTACCATGGAAGCAATTTGATCGCTTATGGCCCATGGGTCGGCGTCAATGTACTATTTTCCCCGCGCCTAAAATACCAACGCTGCGAAAGGATTAAACTCTAAATCCCATCACGCAAGAGCAGGGATTACTTGTGGATTTCCGTAAGCCTTCCTGCGTTCAGGAGATTCTTTATGTCCCCAGCTCAGCGTTCCAGTTATTGTTAAATTTCTTTTATTCGCATGGACAGTAAATCAAAATAGCTCTCTAAAATCCCCAAGTTTTCGATCACTCATTTCCCCCATAAGTCAAGGCTGTGGATTGTTCATTTTGTCAGTGTATACAATTGGGAGTATATCAGAAGCAGATATTCGAAATGTATCATTTTAACTAGTCGTAACTTATTTCCGCCTTACACAACAAGTTTTCTTTTCCGTGAGCACTGCGTGAAGTGTAAAATAAACAGTGAAGATATGTCAATTTATTCACTGTAAACTGTGTTTATTCTACACTAGTCGTGTGTTTGTTGTATAATTTACTCCGTTTATTCTACAATATGAAGTGCAGAGTGCACACAGTGTATTGCAGAAAACACAAATTGTGTTTATTTTCTACACTAACACTTTATCGTGGGTATTTTACATTGGACATTTTTATTATACATTGTATAATAAACTGTTAAACTTGCGCCATCTACATTGTACTGTGATTGTTCCCCGCCATATATGTGTTTCTTCTACACTTGACATCGTGCTCATTCCACACTCAACTTATGATATAACATCATTAATATGTAATGTCGTGTTTGTTTTGGTTTGTTCAGTGTTTCTGTGACCTGCTCTGTACACATTGTTTCATACTCGCGGGGTTTCTTGACACGGTTATCTGAATGTGGTAGAATAACCACTAGCCGATGTTCATTGGCTTATTTGCTATAATATGTTACAATGTTGTTTATTGTACACTGTATACACTACATACCGTGTTTATCCTATTTGAACCGTGTTGACCAAACACTGTAATATTAATTGCCGTGATTATACTGTTTCAGGATGAATACATAACATTTGCCGTCTACTGGCCTTGCCTTCTTAATGACCTAGGCTTCTTCAATTTAAAAAACTACTATATATCATTATTCAATACTGTGTTTATTTGACACTGTTGACACAATATTTAATCTTTATTCCATAACGCACATTCACCCGACGCTTTACTTTACAATGCCTTGATTTGTTGTCTTGATTTACTCGAGATATTATTTGGCACTGACTTTTTGTCACTTTTTCTCTTAAAACGGCAATGGCTTAGCATTACACAAACTAAGTGTCTATTTTACGCTTCGATTATGGTGTTTATTCTGAACTTAAACATCATGTTGAAAGATCAGTGTAATTCCTTGATTATAGTGATTGCAGTAATTCCTTGATTTCAAGATGTACACGAAATGATGTGTATCGGCTTCGGCCTCTTAATGACCTTCCTGAAGAACAGCTGAGTAGTATACAAAGTGTTTATTCTACACTGCTCACCACTACCGTATACGTGTACATGTATTACCATTTGCCTTGATTATCTGGCAGTGTTAATGTTCCACTTATACAATGTGTTTTTTTACACTTTATTCTACACTGCTCACTACTGCTGAAATATTAACATATAATTGCCTTGATTATCGTGCAGTGTTAATGTTCCACTTAGACAAATTGTATTTTACACTTTATACACTGCTCACTTCTACTGTAATATAAACATATTGCCTTGATTATCTTACAGTGTTAATGTTCCACTTGGACAGAGTGTATATTTAACACTTTATACACTGCTCACTACTACTGTAATATTAACATATGCCTTGATTATCTTGCAGTGTAAATGTTCCAAGCTGTTCACGTGATGATGTGTTTTACACTGCTCACTTCATTCCACCCATAATACTGTAATATATCAACGCTGTCTTGATTATCTTGCAGTGTTCCAAGATGTACACGTGATGATGTTCATTGGCTTCGGCTTCCTCATGACTTTCCTCAAGAAGTACGGCTACGGCTCGGCGGGTTTCAATTTTCTGATAGCCGCCTTCGTGCTGGAATGGGGGATGCTCATGCGCGGCTTTGTGGCACTAATTGTAGAGGGCTCGTTCCATATCAACATTAAGTCGTGAGTATCGATTCATTTGAATTGTCTAATCGATTATATCATAAACATGCAATAATCAATTGCGGTTGATAAATAAGATTTCGGGTAGGAACGTTCGGTCGTGAGTATCGATTTCTTTTCAGTTTCGTGTATTCGATAGTTTCATCGTCTTGAAATCGATTGTTATCGATAAATAACATTTTCTCGCGGCCACATCCTTTGTAGAAATCGATTATATCAGCATTCACTTGTGAGTATCGATTCTCTGAGTTGTCATCTAATCGATGGTTCATAATCAAGAAATCGACTGCGAGTGACTGATAACTAGATACTGATTCACATCACCATTCAGTCACAAGTATCGATTCTTTGATTGTGTAATCGATTTGTCAATAATCTAGAAATCGATCTTGATTGACTGATAAAAGCGATTTTGATTCATGCATTTGCCCTCCTCTTTTTTCGATTCTGTAAGCTCTGACTGTGTGTTGTTGTCACTGGTGATAAAACAAAATTTGCTATGGGTTGGACTTAACAGAATGTCATGACCACTAACTTTTATTTATAATGGAGTCGTCTCACCACGCAACCACTCGGTGTGATTGATCGACTTGCCATTCCGAATCTGATACAGCCGCGGGTATTGCATTCAGTGCTTTTGAAAGGAACAAAACGGCTTTTTTGGATACCCTCGAAATTGTATTACCAAGGCTCCGTTCGCAGAGTCAACATTGTTCACTGCAAAGACACGGCTCATCGACCACGTCATGTACTGAGAAAAATCTCATAGAAATCCCCCACAAATTTTTTTAATCCGGGCCACATCGTAAAATCACCATAGCCAGGGCTCTCCATTATCCAACCTGGCCCCGAAAAGGTGCACTGAACTAAGTCAAGTTCCATTGAAAACAGTGTAAAATCAATAATGTTCAAGGCCAACATGCAAGCCGACATCACTGGGGTTTCTCAAACAAAAAATAAAATACAGTCTTGTCCTTCATCTTTTTAATTCTTTTCAATTTTGGGTAGACTAGCCAATTACATTTGTTAGATATTCACACCAAAAAGAAATTTACAAGCTGCACCCTAAGTCTCTCAGGCATATATGACCCACTTTTCATCCGTAATTTTATCAAGCCTGCCCTCAGATGGAAGCCCCAAAACCAGGGAGATGATCCTTGGGTATAATTACACAATTCCAACGTTTTTCAAGCCAAACGGTCTCCGTTTTCAAAATATATTGTGGTGGGGGGGGGGGGGCCTTATATGCTAATGACCTCGCGTAGAAATTCTCACTTAAATGTCTGCACTCACTGCACCCTGAATGTTAGTCAAACCTTTATGCAACATAAAGGCAACTCTCGGGCCAACTTGTCCACCGGCCAAAAAAATGCTGGGTATTTCAGTGTTGGACTCCGGAGGGTCAGATTGTTTCGGTCCGGCTGGTCCGATAAATCAAAAGCTGATCTGAAATAACGCGTGACTGAGAGGGCAACAGGCCAGGCCAGGCCTGGGCGCCGGCGCTGGCAGTTGTTTGGTGCAAAGTGGAGAAACTGACCCATCAAGAAAGGTTAACGATGCGGCCACCGTGCTGTTTTCTAGTTTCACCTCAAGAAATAGATTTTTTTTTTTTCAATTGCCATTTTCATAGCAATATCAAAGTTATGTACTTTTGAATGAGATTTTGAATGAGACTTTGAACGAAAAAGAATCCACCGATGTTTAGTTATTGAAAATCTTCATAAAATTCGAATTATATTATAGCTGCCAGACAATAATTCGGCTCGCGCAGTGCCAGTTCATTTGTGCGCAAAATGAAAGCCCCTCTTCGGAGGGTTGCAGACGCCCAAAATTTGAATAAAGTAGTTTTTTTCGTCCGTTAAAACAAAAATTCTAACTGACAATAAGTTAGGAGAAAAAAACTACAATTTGTTCAAAGAGCATGGGCATTCAACTTTGAAAAAGTGGAGGACTGGTATGAACTCGCACTATCTGACTTACGATGAGTTCAATTTTTTTTTTTTTTAAAGGTCGGCTTTTATTTCGAGAAAATTAAGAAGAAATCCCTTTTCAGTCTTTAAAAAGCGTGCAGATTTGGCAATTAATTATGCAAGACAAAAAAAATGGGAAATCTAAAAAGGAAAAAAAACCGTTTGTATAGGAAGATTAGTCATTAACCGGTAAAGGTGGTTTAAAAAGTGTGCCCGCGCACTTCTGCTCACCATGAATTACTCAAAAACTGTGCCCAGGTTTTCTCCGTTTTCTCACAATGTGTAGTATCCACTGACCTGAAAGATCAACAGGTTAAAGTTTTTATGTACCAATCGTAAAGATTTTTGAGCAGTTGTGTTACTTCATACCAAACGAAATGCGCAAAACAACTGATCATATGTAAAACTGACGCGCGTATATGGAAAGGTGGCTTAACTCGCGAGCTATTTGATGTTTTCCTGCCGATTTCCACGCAGCTCTATCAGATGAGATCATGGCCCAATTTCTTGGCTCTGCTTACCGTTTACGAAAAATCCCTGCTTACTATAGCTGAAAATTCCGTGCTTACCGTAAGCGTATTTCACGCGTTAGCAAGGACTTTTTGCTTCTGTTTTTTTTTGGGTTAGCACAGAATTGTTCTGCTAGCGCGGTTAGCACAACATTTGTGGTCGTAAGCGCGGAATCCTGTGGTTTAGCAGAGCCAAGAACGTGGGCCCTGACACACCCAAGATTGTTATTCATAATGATGTAATTTATTGCCCCTAACCCCCCATAAAATACTGTCAGACCCAAGCAGGTGGTTGGGTGGTAGGAGTTATTAAGAGATTGCAATTCAGCAGTTCAGCCCAGCCCATTTACTGTTCACTTTGAAAACAAAAACAATTTTACTGGTCCCAGAGCGTAGGAAATTCTATTCGATTGACCCAGAGTGGACATACATGTACAGTTGAACTGGAAGACCTTTCACGCATCTGGTTTCTATACAAAATAGTCCAGATTTAGCCCATCCATTGGCGTCACATGACCGGCCACTCTCTTATTCCAATAAATTCACTCCCAGCCGATTATGGGGACTGGACGTTTTAGAGTGAAATTCGTTCATTCGAATAAGATCCAGGTTTCACTCGAGTTTCTACTGGATTGTTACTTTTTCAGAGTACTTCAGTCTGAAATGAGAGTGATTTTCACTCTCAATCGTCTAGTCTCTAGAGTGTCACTCTTTGGAAATTAGGGCAGGGTAATCCTATACGACAGAACTGCCCGGTTCACATGTGACAGTCAGTCAGTTGGGGAGTCGGCGAGTCAGTCAGTTAGTCAGTGAAATAGGGCGCTGTAATGACGTCATTTTTGAGGGTAAAAAAGGCGTAAATCCTCCTGTTTATGACGCAGGTTGACTTGTTGCTTGTTACGCCCCACCATTCGCTAAAAAAGGGGCCTCTTTCATGGATTTTTTTTCTCGGGGTTGTTCTGGGGGCGTGAATCCAACATTCCCTCGGTATACCATCCCCGTGCAGACTGCTACCTGTAGCGCACGGGCTTAACACATTGTAGATGTATACATAACACCTTCATAATTAACTACAACATTTCATATATCACTTATTTTGCAGTTTTTTTGCAGAAATTTTGTAGTTAAAATGAAAGCGCTACCTACTTGAACTCGTATATTGGGAATCAGCATTATACTAGTACAGTGCAGAGCTGTTGTATTCGTTCCAATGCAATGGTAGGTCAACCAAGCGAAACCCATCGCCCGTGGCTACGCAAAAACTGTCAGAACGGGTAAAATAATATGGCCAATCTGACCTATTCACACCTGATTGTGATGCTTACAAATTGGTAAACCCGGCAGGAGGTACAAAAAATTCCCCTCTGAGCAAACTTCATTATATTCTAGTTTTTTTTCCTTACCCACGGCAGTTTCAGGATGGATTATTAAGTAAGTGGGTCAAACCAGTTGTGGGTCAAACCAGTTGCGGGTAAGCTCTGGCAACAGAGCTTCTACAAGTCCGACTCGGGTGTCGGTCGGTCGGTCCAAAATTGACCAAAAACGAACCCCCTAACTCGCCCATAAAACTGTTGAGTACCACATTGTAACTGCCCCCCCCCCCAAAAAAAAAACAAAAACAACAACCACCAAAATACATTAAATACTAGACAAAAACATTTGGTAACAATTTGTGACATTGTTTATGCTATTTTGTTTTTAAAATAAGGGCCAAGAAAATGGCGTCGCACTGAGTAAACAGTTGCATTATGAAAGTGACAGTTATTTTGCATTGTGAATTTCAACAAAATGGGAAGTTCTAATTTCAATTCGACAATCACGACCAAGTGAGTGATTGTATAATTTCATGCAAGACGGCCAGAGTTTATCGTGCATTCGTATTTGTTCAATTGCCAACTCACACCACAACTTGATCCACGTGGCCAGGCTGCGAATCTTTTTTCCCGGATGCTAAGTTCGGTGGACCGTTGAGGCGGGAGATTTAGGCTGGATCAGGATGCTAGGTTGCTAATGCATGCTAATGTAGTTTCTAAAGCAAACATGGAGTGAGGCCGTATGAAACAAAGTTTGTTGTGTTTCATCTCGAGTGTATAACCTGGGGGCTGGGGGGGGGGGGGGTGTCCAAACCTTGGCTTCGTCTCTGTTTCCAACTCGTGAGCGGAGACGACGCTGGAGTTTGAGAAACGGCCCAATTACATGTACATGTATAAGTTTTTCCATGCACACGTACGTTTGACTTAACTACTGGCAACCTCTTCTCCATTCAGCGGGAAATGAAACATTTGTTTTTAGTATTTTTGCAAAACACTTTTTTTCGTGACGTCTTGCCAAACCCTTGTGTTACCGCTTTCCACAGAGGCATATGTCGATATCTGACAAAACCTTCCGGCTTTGCCTTGAGTGCCCGATCCCTGTTGGGAATTTGTTAAATATTAAATGTAGGGTGACCCCAGTGACAAAACATGTGTATAGGGCAGCGAACGAATAATGGTAGCGCAGTTTAATGCAGGCAGGTATAATA